CTTTAATCAAAAAAGAAAAATAAGAATATTTCCCCAAACTATTCCTTTAAATATACAAAGGCATCACAAATGCTCACTTCGAAACACAAGCTGAAAACTTGTAATATGATTCTACTATCCACGCTGAGAACTGCTTTGTCGGCATTTTACTTTATATCATCTTCCAACAGAAGATATTCCCCTCGGGCGCTCAGCAGCTTGCTTCGACCGACTCTGAATAGCTATACATGCATAGATTCATCTGTGCAGTCTCATGTTTGCCCAACTCTGACTCCACTTTCCTTTGCTTGCTTTTGAGCTGATAAATAAATCTTTACATCTGTCGCTCTCCTGAGGCTTCAAAACCCATGACTTTAGTTCCATCTCACCCGCTTCTTCCCCTTGCTTACACAGACAAACAGACAAGTGCAGAAGCGAGATAAAAGCCGGAGTGATGTGAAAACATGAAATCCCCGGCTTTCATTGCTTTCGTGGAAATGCAGCCCATATAGAGGTGTGCAGAGTCATGGGTGGGGCCGTGCTGTGCAGCGGCCGCAGGATTCAGCTGTACTTTTGTATAAAGCAATGTTTTTCTCTGTATGAGAGGTTCTAAGCCAGAATTGCATTATTCACTGGCTCTTCAACCGCCTACATAAAGAAACTGCTGCTGCAAGGTAAACATTGATCCTAATACTTCACTGAGAAACAGACGTCAAAATAAAACTGCACATGTGCACATCCAAGTTCAGTTCTGTGCAGGCAAAAGTTCCATATTAGTTCTTCTGATGCCTTAAATCAAACTTACAGGTGTAAAAAGTATCAGCAGCTCCACACAGGTACAATATTCACTCATGTGCTGCCAAACAAAGCTGAGGACTGATGCACGTCTCTCAGTCTGGATATTTCCAGGTATATGTCCCATGAATAAATGACAGATACAGCACAGTCTTCTCATCAGTATTATTCAGCAGGGACACTATTTCCTTCTCTCCATCGCGGTTTGCTAATTGAAAGAGATAAGCGAAAGCCAATATATCCACAAAGAATATCCTGTTTGAATACCGACACTGGATAGGGAGGAACAGGTGAAATGGTCTTTAGCAGCGTTCAGTTTGAAGATGGAAAAGTTTCAAACTTAAGTTTTCATGAGCATGAATGATTTGTGATGTATAGTTGTAGCCTTAGTGACTGCAATGGAAATGCAGCCAATGAGAACCTTTAGATAACATCCACATGTGTGTCCACTTCCCTCAGCTCATTTTCCAGTTGCCTTTTAAGCCCTTTTTCCACTGGTCGAAATCTGACATTGGGCTTCTGTCTGCAATATGAATGTGAATGCACTAATTTGGCAAGACAGCCAGGTAAGAGTTTGTGACGTTGAACATGGGACAAACAAAAATGCGGAGTGAATCGTGTATCCTTGCTTATTTTGGTGTAAATGAGGTATTACACATTTATATCTCATTTCTACCAGGGGTCTTTCTGTGTGGAGTCTGCGTAGGTTTTCTCCGTCTGCTCCAGCTTCAAGTAAGGTTAAATGGAGATCTACATAAACAGATCTGGTTTGTCCGCAGGTCTTTGTATGTTGGCCTGTCCAGGGTGTCCCCGTCTCTCACCCAATGTCAGCTAATAGTCTAGGCCTAGTCTATGGACAGATGCTCAAAATCAGCACCTGGTTTTACAAGCATGTATGTCTGAGGTTGCAGCCTGTCCAAAAACATTTTAAATGTCCAAAGATGTTCTCTCAAAAATAATTTCTGCTCTTCTTTTAAAAACAAAATGATAAACAAATAGGTTAAACGAGTATGTATATTTGAAAAACAATCTGCATTGTGTCTATAGCTGTATGAAAATATCACAGGGGGTCCCTCAGTGGGAGGAAGCTCCTCGCTTGGATTGCATTTTTCATTTTCCTCGGCTTTCTCGCAGCTTTGAAACCTCTGAGGATGCCTTGGAAGTAGTTTATCTCACAAACAAAACATCAAACACATTCGAAAGGAGTTGAAAGCCTCTGGAAATCCCTGCATTACATCCCTTTGCCTTTTTCCTCTGGTCATCATCACATCCATTGGGAAAAAAATAGTTGATTGTTTATGGCAGTCAAAGTAGTGGTGGCTAAGAAAATAATCTATAAAAAACCCATCAGTGATGCAGATATCTAATTGAAACACAAACTGTAGCACAGTGTGGAACCTATTTTTTGCCTAATCCAAGTGTGAACAACGTAACTGGAAGCTGTAACTCCCCTGACTTGCAGTTTTTGTCATGTGTGGGCAAGTGTGAGAGCTCATAAAGTGGACGTTTCCAGGGTATTGCACCATCCTTGAGTGAAATACAATAACCATTTCCAGGAACTGCACTTGCAGAAAAATACTGCACTGTAGAGAGTTACAGCTTCTGGTTAAAAACATGATGCGAGTAGAGAAAACCAGACTAATTTCTCTCCTGAGATCATTTTTGGCATGATCCGCTAACACAGGCGAAAAATGGTTGTTAAAATCAGAAAACCTGACTCATCCACAGATAACTGAGAGTCAGACACTCAGCGCTGATTTTTTGAGTCACATCTAAAAAAAACACTTCTGAAACGATTGAAAGCTTGGGATTATATTTGCAACTTTATATATCTTACTAAAGCATTTAAAACTTTACAAATTACCTTTGAAAGGAGAACATGAAATCCCTCTCGCACAAATCAGACATCAACAAAGGACGAGCAAAATATGGTCCTGCTCACTGTCTTGTTTGCTCATCTCTAACACACAGAATGAACGCTGGAAAACACACCAGTCCTCTTTTGATCTATAGTGCTTATTAATTCGATCTGCCGCTGTATGTGTGTGTGTGTGTGTGTGTGTGTGTGTGTTTAGCATATCCTGGTGAGAAAGAAAAGTGGAGCATGCTCTTTGTTTTGTCTTGTAGGAGCATTTTCACCCCTGATGACTAGGCAAGCATCCCATTATTTATTATGCTGCAGCGTGTTCACTGACAAAGACATCAGCGCGTGACTCACTCCTTACTCACGTCAGTAATGAGAACTCTTCCCCTGCCGCTGCTGCAGTCGCACCCACTGCTGATGCATGTGCACCAGCACCGATTGTAAACCCACCATCAACAGCTCAGAGTGAGATCTGACACAGCAGGATTCATGTGCACGCAGGGTGTAGTTCCTTCATGAGGTGGGCTGACTTTATCAGTTTAGATTAAACTTGTATTATTCAACTAAAGAAAAATTGTGATGTGACTGAAAATATATCCACCATTGTATTACGGTATAAATGAAAAAAAATAGAAACAAGCAGTAGCCTAAACTGCTGAACCACCACTTAGCCTGTTGTAAAGTGACAATTGCAAACAAGTAGGGAAGTTAAAAGAGTGAGATTAGTTTCTATTGATAATTAAATCCATGAATAAATGGCCAACATTAGTCTAAATTACTAAACCAGTTGAAAGAGCAGTTTGCTGAAAGTATGGACAAAGTAGTTAAATAGTTTTTAATTAATAAAGAAACAGCAACAGCTAAAAGTTATAGACCAAATGGAATTAGTATCTAAGTAAAGCATAAAAAAAATAGCTTAATTTAATAAAAACTGTTGAAAAAGTGAAATGCTAAATCCATAGGGAAATAGTGTGGCAGTAATAGTAGTTAACTAAAACAGAAGAAAAACATTCAAAACTGTGAGCTGAAATTGTTTTAAAAAAGTTAGCAATAGTTAGCAACAGTTGAAATAGCTAAAATAAATGGTAAACCATTGAAATTAAAGTAATGAATGAACTATAAGTTCGCTAAATTGATACCATAGACTGTTCATAAAGATGGACAACATGACAGTGCCCCAAAAGTGTCTCGATCACCACCTGGTGGTTAGCTCCAGTATAGGCCATAAACCCTGCCTCCTCCATGTTAGTGGATGGGACATTGACAATACACAAAAATCTTTACACAAAGATGAATTATGTTATTTTATGTAATATCACATTGATGTATGTTGAAGTGTTCATTTTTGGTTTTAATCAGTTATTTGATGACACCAAGACTGGTTAAAACGTCATGATTGACAGCTGATTCTGACTCGCGATGGTCGGGCATGTGTATTCGCTGGATTTTGATACCCCCGATCTCTACTGCACAGACTCTGGCTCCAAAGATGGCAGCGTTCGTATTCTGAATATTGTGGCTTCATTTCTGGATGGAGGGAGGAAGTGGAGACGTGACATCCCTCTTTATACACAATTCAGTCAATTGGGCCTATAAACTATAATGTTTCGACAGTTGAAATAGTTAGCAAAAGGCAGTATATAAAGTTTTTGCTAAATGTTTAGAAATTTAAAAATAATTAGCAAAAAGAAATGTGTACATTTGAAATAGGCCAGCTCATCCAGTACACAGCACTTTATCAGTGGTGTTGGTGAGAGGGCACTTGAGCTGTTGAAGCTGTTGGTTTGTTAGACAACAAAGGTTGGGAATCAGATATATAATAACCCACATACCAGACAATCACAACACACTGAAACATAATTGCTCCTGTCAGACTGGGACTATAACTTTAGCTCAAAGGCACAATGTAAAATGTCAGTATGGCCTGTTCTTGCTCTTGAGTGTGAAATGTTTAGAGGAGTGCAGCTCTGCATTAACGAGCTCAATAACCACGATGGTTACACCACAAAGAGAGAAGTGTGTTTTCCTGCACAAGGCACCGAGAACACTGCAACTCTAAACTTCAGAGCTCCTCCTCTGTCTGTTTCTGGCAAAAACCACCTACACTCCATGACTCAGTCTGTGTTTGCTCAGTCTGTGGACAACTCGAGCATCTCAATTACTCAGAAAGTTCTCTCAGGTTGCGGAGGATTTGATTTTTTGGGAGATATGAATCTGTATGCTGAGTTTTATATATATATGTATATATATACTCACAGAGGGAAACAGTTTATGCGTTTTAGAAAGGCCATCCTTCCTTTCTGATTTATTTGTCATTACATTTGAACATGTCTTTATTTGCACTATGTACATGTTGCCTTCACACAAGATTGGAAAAAAAAATCCCAAAACATATATGTAATAAAAAAAAAAAAATTGGCTAAAGTGCACGACACAAAGAAAGCACTATCACCCTGGCATTGAAGAATGCATGAAGCAAATGTTTTTTGTTGCGTGGATTTGCACATCAGCTCATCACAATGAGAAGGAAATAACAACTGCATTGAAACCAACATACTGTTGTAACACACTGAACAACACCAGGTTCCCAAAGAAGCCAGATAGAAACACATCATTTTTAATGACACGCTACATAACACAAAGCATGTTCATCATCATCGTCATCGGCAATAAAGGTTTCTCCAAGATATGAAAGCAAACATTTCTTTATAGTTACAGTGATGGTCATGATGTGTGCATACACTGACCTGGAATCAGTCGCTCGTGAGTTACCACTGGGACGTGTGTTCAGAAGGGGTGAGGCGAGCATATTCAGTGAAATGACCGGGGGTCTTCAGATGAGCAGAAACTCAATGAGATGAATCGGTTTGTTAAATATTTAGCAGGATTAAGTAGAAACTACAGGACGGATTACGATGAAACTTGTTGGAAGGATGAGGTATCAGTCAAGGAAGAAGGCATTACATTTTGGTGGGGATCTGAATGATGGGGGGAGAACCCTGATATTGCAAAATGGGGTGGTTTTCAATATTTCCCTTCATTTCTGAAAGTAAAATTATTGGATCTTGATGGAAAAGAATCTGACATGTTTAGGGGAATAGTGAATTTAATTGTGGTTTCATAAAGGGACTGTAGGGGTCTTGGTGGAGGTATGCACTTTACTTACTTTACTTTTTCTAGCTATGTTTTTTATCTGACTGCCTTCATTCGACTTTAAGATGATTGGATGTTTGCAAAAATTGGAAGGCCCAAAATAAAATTCCAAGTATTAGCTGCAGGTTTATTTAAAGCAAAGCACAGCGGGAACTTCCCCTTGTGGAGAGTGTAGTCAATATTCAATCTTCATTAGCAGAGAACTGACTTGCATGTTTATTTTTAAATGTTCACAGAGCCAAGGATGTATAAATGGATTATTTAGTCGCATGGTCTGACAGAAACTGGTGACGCCAAAAGTGGCTTATTAGTAAAATTAATGTGGTTGTGCTATTTTAGGGCAATGCTCAAGAGTGTACACGTTCTTTCAGAAAAAGCCATTACAGGGGAACTAATTGTGCACTATAAATGTCAGGTATGACTAATGCAGGACGTGTGCAGGGAAAACTAAGTGCATAATGTCACCACATGAGGGTTTACTGTATGAACTAGCATCTGCCAGGTGTAAAATCTACAATGTAGAAAAAAACAAATCAGATGAGAGGTCATTAATAAGCCCTTCATACAAGCTTAATCAGTGGATTTCAACTTGAGTAAGAATCCTTGAAACTGTTTTCGCGGAATCAAACGTCTCAATGCTTTACCAGCATGAATTACTCTAACAGCTGAAGTGAGGAATATGGGGTAAAGTATTGCACGAAATATGAGCCCCTTCACAGGCTGATCAATTTTAATTCAAGCTTTTTTATGATCTGACGAAAAAGCCCTAAATCCGTTCAGTCATGCGTAGCAGTGAACCGCCGGCATAAGTAGAGTCATGCAAAGAATAATTTATTACAGCTACATTCAAAGCTGTCAGACTGCCGACACTTTGTTTATATGCGCGGCCCCGGAGGATATGTGAGGCTGCCTTTTAATGACACCATCTACCTGATTTACAGTAGGACCTCCACGCCCATTGTGACTGGCGGATGCCTCGTTTCACACCATGTAACCAGATGCAGGGTTGTTTTTTTTTTGAGTGACACTGAAACACCATTTCCCACGGAATTTCTGACCATCTGGCCGACCTCACATCAGTGATTTAATTCCGGGGCCGTAAATGAAGATTCCTTCAAATTAGATTAATCAAGGTGACTTTAGACAGCAGGCGACATAAAACGACAAACATAAAAACAAAGCACAGTTGCATTTATGTAGGCAAACTATATCTGGCACAGACAGCTTTTGTTAGACTTCAGGGCACATGTTGAACGGATGGACGTCGTCTTCAAGGTAAAATACGGATCTGCGGCTCTGTTGAGATTCTTGTGATTCATGCCAGTGCACATTGTTCAGTAAGAAAACAGCCTCTGTTCCTGGCTGAAAGTGATCTCTCTTTTTTTTTTTCAACCTCTCAGACATTTATTCCTTATAGATGGAAACTATTATCAGTAGTTCTGTATTTTTTTCTCTCTCTAGCGATGAAAGTCCTCCTTTGTCATGATGCATGTTGTCACTTTTTTTTTTCTTCCACTTTGAGGCAGTCAGACTTATGGAGTCATAGAAGTTAATGAGGGCCGATTATGGTCTATTAAAGACAGTCCTGGTTGGCAAACCGAGATAAGCAGGGACAGGACTCCGGTTTTAACAGCAGCTCAATAAGAATAACAACGACTTGACTGAATTTTGTGGCTTTTACAATTGCAGTCTTGTCATCGTAACGTATTTGTAGGGTGACTTAGAAGTTCGCAACCAGCCGAAGGTGGATGAAGCCAAAAGAGATTGAAGTCAATGTGATGCAAACTGGCCTCCAATACTTCCATTACTCAAAACACCTGCTTTAACAGAAAAAACTTTCACTATCCCCAATTCCCCCTCTTCTTACCCTCCAGCTTGACCTCTCTTCAGTCACTGTGGCTAATATTGGCTGACAGAGAGCCTGTAGGGAGAGAAGGGCTAGAAAGAAAGGAAAGGAAGAAAAAAACGTACATCCTCAAAAAACTTTCCTTGAAAATCCGCAGGAGCAATGCAGTTCCCTAGAGGGTGTTGTTCTCTTCCTAGACTCCCCGGAGGTGCATGGAGAGAAGCCTCTTATGCTATATGTGTCCTGGTTTCGAAAGGTAGGCGATGAGAGCTACCACCACCCCCACATACACACCAGTGCCTATAGTGATGGAGAGGGCGGCGAGGAACAGAGCGCGTCGGGAGGCGATGTTGGCCATGGGGAAGTCACCTTTGTTCACCGCCTTGGTGGTCTGGAGGAGAGGAATGGTAAGACAAAGAAGAAGAGTCAGACACAGTTTGGATGGACCCCAAGAGAACCAACAACCTCACTTTTCACAAGCACCATAATTACAGAAGCTGTGGAAGTGAAAAAAAAGGGGGATTGAACGGGAGGATGGGCCCATTGACCGAGTGGTTCAGCGTAACCCTGGAGAGCTCACCACGCCTGGCAGGACTGAAAAATGGCAATTAGTGTGAAAATGTCAAAAACTGTGCGTTATGATCATCTCAGCCGCGAGCAGTGAATCATAAACGACACATGTGAAGAGCTCATTCATCATAATTTGTCATTGAAAAAAACAAACTCCACAAAGAGAGACAAAAGAGAAGGCGACAAACAGAAGTTATTGACAGCAGTTCTATTGTTTGCTTCACTGTAGGTATTCAAGTGAAAACAGGAAAAAGCCGGTCAGGCAACAACATTATCGCCATAAACCAGTTACAATGTATTTAAGGTTATTGAGCATTTTTACAGCCCATTATAGGCACATTTAGGTCCTGTGGTGTTGTGTAAACTGATCTTCTCAAATAAAAACAGTCCTCTACTGCTGTAATATGCCCACAACGTAAAACAACTGAAATCTTAATTGTTAAACAGCAGCTCATTGAAAACAGTTAATCCAAGTCAGTTTAAGGCAAGTTAAATAATTCATCCTACCGTGTGCATGAAATTGACCAATGTTACAATTATTTTGGGTCTATAGAATTTGTAATATTCAAAACAAAACACATTCTGTTGTTTTTCATCGTCTTCTGAACCGAACATCACATCGAAACAACCATTGCATCGAGCTCATCGACAGCACCACAGTCACCGTGTTTTCCTTTTTCTGTTCGTGGCCTTTTCCCTGACATCTCTCTCCTCATAAGACTCTCAAGTGGCCAGTGCTTCAAAGAGGCCCTGAGAGCCACTGCTGCACAAGCGTACACAACAGCAGAGCCAATCAATACAGGAACAAAACAACAATACTAGAATGCATTATTCAGTATTTTGTTGTATTCTGAGATAGTTAATTCATAACTAATTGATTAAATGCATAATGTGTTCTTTTCAAAACAATAACGAGAGACTGAGTTTGGTGACATTGTTAAGTAGCGTGGGATCTGCGAGTTGTTTTTATCACTGGTGCCGTCATTGCAGCCATTTGCCTTTGGTAATGTTACCTTTAGTGAGGGACGTTATCAGCAGAGGGTTCCTCCTCGCCAAGATAAACAGTGCAGTTGATTAAAACCAGTAAAAAACTGAGGAAGGCACTTCCACATGTTTCTCTTCCATTGGGCTATGAGAGTCAAGCACTGACTTTTGCTCAGCTTTGTTTATCCAGACATGCAATCACCAAAACCTTACACTGGGTTAAAATATAAAGTTTAAAAAATGGTCATTACATCTATTAAAATTATGTATTTCTCTAAAATCGAAAAAATGGTGGAAACATTTGGGATTATATAAGTAACCTCAAGAAAATATATGAAATATGTCTTATGTTGATAGAAAACTTGTGCCTTTAACAGATCATTATTGGTGATAACTGAAATCAAGTCATTTAGTATTAATTATTTATAGAGTACTTGAATTACTTATTGATGACAAATGAATGAGTAATCAATTAATCATGTGTAATTTTTTTTACTTAAATTACCATATTATTTATAACTGCATAAATCTTTTATTTATATCCAGCTGATATGAAGTGGCATTAGCCTCTAATTTGACTTTTGTCTTTGGCAAACGACAAATACATGTATTGATCAATATCAGTAATTATGAGCTTGCCAGCTAGAACTAGTTGTTTGGGAGACTTTGGCTTTTTGTATTCTCAGTGGGATTGCACCTTTTTAATGGCGTAAAGCAGCATATTGTGTAATGGTACTGCTCTATCCAGTGTCATTTAACCAAACCAAAATTCACGTCCAAGTTTATTCACAGGATGTAAATAAAAAAAAAAAAAAGAGTAGATAGGTTGTCAGTTGCTGGTGTAAAAACATCATTAGAGCACTTTTAAATCATATTCTGCTTCAGTGAATTTTCAAAGGTGCCCCATGGACCACTAAAATACATTTTAAACAGAAATAACAGTTTGGAGCATTTCAGTGATGCTCAAATGAGTCCCGGCCTCTTGTCCCTGCTTCTTATATAAATACACACAACCTGGATAACTCAAATAAATAGTAAGATTGAAAAATATGACGATAAATAGTGGTTTGTTGTGTTCATCCTGTCCATTGTCGCTTTGTTTACAAAGCTGTTGCTGGGTTTATTCTTGCTATCTTACTATTTGAATGGACTTGCTTGGCTGGAGAAACACAGAGGGAAGAGAAGAGAAATGCCTCTTTTGATTTCTTGCGAGGTCAGAACACCAGCAGGAATGACACACAATGGCAGAAAGTCTAACCGTGACATTGTCTGGGCTTTGTGTTGGCTTTTCCATTTTCCATCCTCCTTCCCCTAAACTAATTTCTTCTCTGTTTTATTCCAAAAGTCGTCACATAATAATCTTATGATTTATTTTTTTTCCCCTTAATGAGATTCTATAGTCAATAGTTCACCATGTTGCTAAATCCCAGTCCTAATTTGTTGTGCCTTTAACACAATGCATCCATCAGACTATTGTGCTGAATGTGGGGCTGTGCGTTTGCTTGAAATTACATTGATTGTTCTGCCGAATCCATTCTCATAATGATGGAGCTGATTTATTTGTGTGAGAGAGTTAAAGCTGGCATCAGGGTCACATCCTCCAACTCCAAAACCTTGGTCATCTCATAAAAAACACTATTCATTTTGCGAGTGAGCCCAGCTGCAAATACACAAGGTCTCTTTTCTTAATCCCAACTGAGGTGGAGAGGGATTATAACCATTAGATGCAGCGTCTGCAGTGGAGTCTGTTTCCGTCAATGGTGGTGAATAGAAAATGAAGCACCGGAGTAAGAAATCCTTGTTTTGACCTTCACCTTTGCTTACAAGCTCTCAGATTGTGGATGAAAGTAGCTCAATAGAGTTTTTCTTTGCAGGATCCCTGACCCCACTCAATTTTGAGTCTGCTGCCCGTAAGAGCAGGTATTTCGTTTAGTTTTAAAAAAGTCATCGAGGAACTGACATCTGATCTACTGAGAGGGCCTCATGGCTTTTATTGCACTGCCATACAAGCCAGTAGCCAGTCAGATTTACCTTTAGCCTCAGCGTACCCTCAGGTTCTGCTTTAAACGTTATTGCGATTAAAAGGCTAAATACCTGATGATACCAATGTACAACTGAAGACTATTATTATTATTTTCACTACAACAACCAGTCTTACAGTGTTCAGATGTGATGTTCCCAGTTATTGAGTTGATTTTTTCCTTCTTCAAAGTGCTGCTCATTGTGGGAATGGTTGGGTTTCTCTATAAATTTTAATGTCTTGACTTTATTATGTTAAAATTTAACTGAACTGAACTGAATACCTTTTATTATAATCCATTCTTCTTTTTGCCAATTTTTAAAGTGAAGAACTGTGTAACCTTGTTTAGGTAAATGTTATACAAATGACGATATTATTAATAACTAATAAATCTAGAGGAAGTTGGACTTAAGCCACTGCATCTCCTTGCTGAGAGGAGTTGGTTGGTTGGTTAAGGCCCCTTGTTGCAGCTTTCATTTTAGGTGTGCCTTGCATGGAGAATTTAAAGAAGCTCCTGAGGTTAACAAAACATTCAGAATAACAGCCTACTGGAGCAAATGGACATTCCCTGTGAGGAACTAGAGGGTGTTATCCTACTTAGACAGCTTCGCCAGAAGCAAGTAGCTAAAAATGAATGGATTCGTGTCAAACTAATGGTAATGCTTATGATAATAAACTTATGAATACAACACCTTTCAAAAACCATGAAGTTGGAATAAAGCTTATGCTCTTCATGCAGTTTGGGAAGAAAACAAGTAGCTTTTACAAGAGGCAATGTTATGCAGACGAGTTTTGAGGGCAAAACCTTATTCATTACATTACATGTCATTTAGGTGAAGTTTTTATCCAAAGTGTTTTTTCCAATAAGTTCATTCAACATCTGTAAGGGCCCATTAGGTAATCAGCATCTTGCCCAAGGACACTTCATCATGGGCTGGGATTCAAGCCGCTGACCTTTGTTTGGAGGACGACTGCTCTACCCCTCAGCCACAACCACCCAGATGAAAAATGTGTGAATAAGTTCTTTGTCCATGGTTTCATTCATTCTTACCAACAGAACTCAACATGGCAGAGGATTAGATTAGTTTGGTTTACCTTAGGGATCAGTCCTTGGCCCCGTTCTTTTTCTATCCATCTTGCATATGCATTGCATTTGTATATACAGTGTTCAAAATGATACAAAGCAGTACGTAACCTACTTGTAAAGCCAAATGAATTTTTCCAACTACATTTAGAATCATGTCTATAGTAAAGTTGTTAAGCCAGCCATATAAGGCCATTTATTTGAAAAATTCAACGCATACATCGATGGTCTTGATTGAGTTTTTGTTCTTCTTAGAGATTCCAGTCTTGTGTCAAGGCTAATTGGAACACAGCATGTTTTCATGTTAGTATCATCTTAGAATAAAGTCTTTCAAAACAGGCCACAAATACACAGCACACCTGTACATACACACTGAACGGTACAACCTTGTGTGGCTGATCAATGTATAAGGCCTTATTTGGACTTGACCCACCCTTTTCAATCTTTGGAACCCTATCTCCCCATCATTATTTAATAGAAAAGTGTGCTTTCTTCCAAACCTTATCTTTAATTACATGTTAAGGAAGCATGTTCATTTAAATCAAGATGAGAAACCAACCACACTTCTTCATTATAGCCTAAACCTAGAACTTAGAATTCATTTAAATTATTTGCTATTATTTATATATTTAACATTTGATTTGCTTGATGTATGTGTTGTACCATGTATTTTCTTGGAATAAAATGGTGTAATGGTGAATTGTCATGATGCTGCAAGGTGATTAGGCACTATTAATCAAAGTAATTGGTTGGTGGGTTGCTTGGTTGACTGACTCGTTGAGGGATCAACTGGATGGTTGGTTGGTTGGCGCATTTATGCTCTCTTCTAATCACCAGCTTTGTATAATGTACTATATATGTTTCAATGTGAGGATGTTTCCTTGAATCCCCTTGAGAGGAAAATGGCTAGAAAGATTATTCTTATCTCCACAACCTTGACAGAATAACTGAAATTTGGTGTCATAGAAAATCCAGATAACATCTCCTACTTAGCTGCATGAAGACTCATACTGAGATGCGCTCTCTGAACTCAATTCAGCATCGTTAACAGGTTTTTTTTCCAAATACACAACACCCACAGCCCGGAAACCCTCTCTGCATCTGTCTCATGCAGACACACAAATGCAAATACATAAACTGTTTCACAACTACTCATTCATTTTCATCTATTACGATGACTTGTGTGCCATAAGATAACTTTAGAGGAGTCTGATTTGCATAATCGTGACAAGAATCGCTGCTGCTTCTCATCTCTGCACTCTCCAGCGCAGATGTCTCAGAGCTGAGAGAAACATTTATCAGCATCTCCAAACAAAACACTCACCCTATTAGTGGCAGTAATTGAAACTCAATTCCGTTTCCCAATCAAATGCTCAAAGCTAATTTTCCCCAGATATTCATGGTGTTCTAGTCATTATCGTTTGCGGCTGTGCGTGTGTGTGTGTGTGGGCAGGTAATGCTGGATCCTTAACTGTGTAGCTCTCTTTTCCACAAAGACATTGCACTGTTTTAAAGTTGTAGTTTTGGCAAAAAGGATATGAGTCATTAAAAGTGAATGAATGCATGTGTGCCTCTATGTGTGTGCACGTTCATAAGCTGTGACGCTCTCATTGAATTCCTCTGCTTGGGAAGCCATTCCATTCACTGTTTGACTAAGCCTGACCTTCCAGTGGGACAAAGACACTATTGATCTTCTGTCTACAGACTCTATAACACTTGTTAACCTGTTTGTTTGTAAATGTCCTCAGAGTAAGTGGTGAAGCTGATGTGCAATCATTTCAAAACAATTCTTCTTGGCTGCCCATGTCAAATCCCATAATGCATCTGCGTACACTGCCCCACGCAGGCAGAGAGCAGAAACTACAAAAAAATGCAAAGCTGATTGGAAAAAGTTTGAGAGTCCTAATTATCGGTTGTTTGTCAATGTCCCCAGACACAACCCAAGAGGTATGATGGGTAGTACCAGCCATGATAGTGCCCCTTTTGTGGAGCAATCATGGATAAAATTGCAATCAGTTTCAAATGGGAAGTGAACTGTGTTCTCCTGCTTTCACATCCTGTTGTTAATGGAGTAATTACAAGTAGCTGAGAAGAACAAAACAACACCTTAGAGTCCGAGTTGTAATCCTGAGCTATCATCACAGGCACACACTAAACTAATCAGATCAGGTCATTTAAAATGAGCCGTACACTTGGTTTGTGTCTTCACTTGTTAATGACCTGCTAAACCCAAAGAGAGACCTAAATGTGTAGTGTAAACCCCCGTTTAGGCAATTCAAAATTATTATTATTATGCCATTTGATAATGCTGTCATAATGATGTGTGACTCCCCTCCCAAGATGCTTCTTTTGATTACTGGCATTTATTATAAGACTGATGAAAATCTTTCCTTTTGTTTTCACATACACACAAAGACATTGGTGAAAACAGTTTCCTGCTTACATGGCCATGCAGATACGCTCGTTCATTTATAAAAAAGTAAAACACATACGATGATAAGAAAATATTGCTCACTTTAACAATTCAACTTGTAACTCCATCACAAGTTCCTGCTACATTGACATATTTTTAATAAGGTAAAACAAGTGTCAAATCCAACCTCACACTTTACCACATTTTACCTGCATCTGGTCCAACTACATTCATATATTTTTCTCTCAGGACAAACTGAAGTTTAGATAATTCCAGCTCATGATAATGAAAGAACAATATCTCATTTTCAATCCTACAGAATTAATTCATTTAGTCGGAGGGGTTTCCTGAACGATTGAATGAAATGAAGACCACTGAAGTGGTTTATTGAGCTATAAAATGAAGCGATCCCAGACTCCCACCATATCTTTTCTTGACAGCTCTTCTGGACGGAACCTTCTGACGGCACTTTCCCTAAACACAGCCATCACTTCCCCATAATTACCCAGGAAGAATCAAATTAGCTTCTGACAAGTTAATTCACCGACTGCCTTCATCTGCCTCGGACTGCCTGTGCCCCCAGATAAGACAGCTAAATGCTCAAGCTTTTGAAGAGATAGTCAAAGGCAGAGCCATTTACTGTAGAGCTTGTCTGTCTCTAACATGTGTGTGAAGAGCGTACCTTTAAACATACAATGTACATGTGTGTGAAGGCCTTTTAACGTATTTTCTTGTTGCTTTGAGTCAGGATTGATTAGCGGCGAGAAAAGGGCTGATCCCTGCGCTTTTTATTTCCTCGAGATTTAAAAAGTGAGATAAAGCCGTGTAAGAATCCATTTGACGACCATTGTGTGCAGTGTGCCGATGTTATTGGTTGAGACCATATCGACAAAGCTTCAGAATTAACAGCATTGTCTTGTCGGCTCCACACATCTAACTCTTAAGATCACGTGGGCTGTTCTCTGTGGAAATAACAGCTCGACAGACAGTTTGTCTTTCGCTTGTTTGAAAAAAAACAACTGTAATTTGAGATGGGTGTTTAAGAGATACTGTAGTTCACCCTAAAATGAAAATGCACTTATTATCTCCTCACCACTTTGCTGATGGAGGGGTGGGCAAAGTGTTTGAGTGCGCAAAACACTGTTGGAGTTTCAGGGGTAAACAGCGTTCCAGTCAAATCCAATACTTTCAAATCGACTCGAAACGGCATAATTTACATGTTTTTGGTCTTGAACATGTTTGAGTGGACAATCTCTAGCTGCGTTATGCATATGTGAAATGAAAAAGAAAGTCCAGATGCCATTGTGCAGACATTCTCCAGAGTTCACATCTGAAACGGGCTAAAGTTAAGAAATAAGCCCACGAAGACAATCAGAAATTCAGTTGTCGTAACGTGCCTTCATGCATTTCTTATCTCACATTATACTGTGTAAACTGCAGCTCAAACAGGTTTCATGTGTCGCCTTTCAGCTCATCGCCTTTAATACGTCGCCATACCTGTGATCGGGTTTCATCTCCAATCCCCTTGAAATCCCCACTAGTCCAAAGGGGCCTCTCTCATCTTAGTATTTGAGACACCTCCTTTGTTGGAATTTACAGATTGAACCTTGAGAGTGATTTATGTACTCTTCCCAAAGCCGCTTCTCAGCCTGTTTACAGAACATCAAGCAGCCATTATAGATTGGCCTTGAGTTATTGATGGGCACCTCGGTAAAAAGTGTCCTTGCGCCTGTGGAAAGCAAGTCAGCTGTCAGGCTTTCTTTCTTTTTTTAAATGTGTGATAGTCCTTAATCTTTGGATGATGAGTCATTCAACGAGCTGAATGTGCGTGCGTGTGCCTACATGTCGACAGATTCATGGAAACCTGTCCGAGTGCACGTGGGCAGTTGCACCTGTTTCACGTTAGACGTCAAAAAACAGATGCTGAATGATTCATGTGTGTTGGTGTCAGATCATTGGTGGCTTTATATATTTATATATACTGTGTGTGTGTGTGTGTGTGAGTGTGTGTGTGTGTGTGTGTGTGTGTGTGTGTGWGTGTGTGTGTGTGTGTGTGTGTGTCTTTACCCCCTGTGAGAAGTAAAATGCTGCGATCCCCAGAGGCCAGAAACAGCAGAGCATGGAGAAGATGGCCAGGCCAAGATGATCTCGTGGAGGGACGACGATGAAGTTGTCTTCGCTCTCGCTGTCGCTGGAGCAGTCCGTCTGCACAGAGAACACAGAGTCAGGTCACAGCAGACACTCAGTTCGTGGCCCAGCACACGAAAGCAATTACAGTTCATGTGAAGTGATGCTTCAGTCGGCAACAGGTCGATCAGGCCAGCAAAAACATCATTCAAAATTAAAGTCATAAAAGTCTGCAGTTTGTGTCTGATCGAGCCATACACCATAAATGTGAAATACCCTGTTCATAATGTAGTACAACATCACACAAGTAAATATACATTACTTCCAGAAATAATAGAATAGGTACCCAGTAAGTAAAAAAATAACAACAGTATCAGTACTTGTATAGAAGTATTGGTATGTACTATAGTGGTATAGTGTTTAAAATGTTTTCTCTTTAAGTCTGAGTATTTATGCCGTACATTGCTGTAATGTAAAGTATTTCCAAATCCATCTTCCAGCACTTCCAATAGTCGTACGTTAAATCATTTTTTGTTTGATCATATAAAATTATATTGTAAATAATTATATACTGTGTCATTAGTTTTAATCTTCATATTTTCATATACATTTTCATATTTATTATACACACATGAGAGTGGTATCAATGTGAATAGCATTCATTTCCTAAATGTCAAATTATTTGTTAAACTTATGTGTTCACGATGGGATTCCCCAATTTAAAAAAGTGGTCACTGCATTCAGTTTGGGATGTCTCATTTCCAACAGCTTTTTGCATTGGTAAAATTCTATTATTAAATTGAATAAAAGGTACAGGCCTCTCATGATTATTTAGAAATGTGACAATAATTTTATATTCAGATTGATTCCTCCTTTTCTCAAAAGTGTCAAGGAGATTCAGGGATTATTACAGATGAGGAAGAGCTACATGTTCCAATGAACTCTGATAAATCAGTCGGGTGACACCTTTTTTTTTCCTTTTTTCAAGAGAGATGGACAATCTAACAAGAAGCAGTTTGCAGAATATGCAGTTCTGGTTCTGAAGTATAAAAACAACACCGCTGCTGTCTGCTCACTGCTGTGTTAGCCTCCCTGCTGACAGTGTGGCGCACCTACTGCTGCTGACAGTGGTTACAACACATTGCACTACGCTTCATTGTTATTCCTAGATTGCTGAAATGTTAAAGGTGTGGAGGTGTAACTGGAGACAGGTAACTATATGTACCACAGTGAATTGCATTGCATCACATTCTCCTGTATCAACTGCATTGCGTTGAATAATCATCTCAAATTGCTTTGCATTGTAATACTGCAAAGTGTATAATTCCTCCTTCCATCATTGTGTCTTATCCCACAAAACCTCAATTATAGTCAGAGGTGAATCTGTATTATATATTTATATAAACATTTATATTTTTCCAAAACATTTGATTTAGCGATGTATTGATACTGAGCAGCATCGGAAATACTTCCATTGTCGAAAAATGCCAGGTCGGGCATTGCTAAGTATGAAATCCACGTACCAATCCGATAGCACGTCTTTAAAGTATGTTATATTCACCCTAATAAAAATGCAATTACTTTCCAGGAAATCACTTCATGCAGAGAACAAAAAGAGTAAGAGAGTCAAGCTGGAAAGTCCCACAAGTAAAACGCGGATAATATTAAGTATAGAAGACTTCAGCTTCAAGCTAATTAAATGAAGTAATTGTTGTGTTTTATTACATTTATTTATTTGTGGTTTCTTTTTCAGTTATGTCTGTCAAACTCGATAATAAAAGAATCGCATATGGCATTCATTCACTCAATGTATTTGTTTTTCAAAGTTAACTTGAGCCAGGCCCTACAACGAGACATCAAACATCACTTCCATACAGCGTTAGTGGAATAAAACTGTTAAACTAAGCTGTTATTTGTTTTAAATGAACTGGTATCTGATTTGTGCACGGTATCACAACACGGGAAGGAGATAAATTGTTTTGCAACCTCTCATTGGTGATCTGCAGGCAAACAGGTGGATTGGGGCAGATTTTATTGTGAAAAATGAAAGAAAAGTTTTTCCCTGTACAGAATGACGAGCTTTGTGCAGGTTGATGTGATTTTCAAGGCGAGTGGGTGGGGAATCTGCATTCACTGAAAGAGAAAAAGCCATTTGTGTAATGGGAAACAAAACACAGAGGAGTTGGCTGCATGCAGGATCATTTGGTTCCACGTTATGTCACAGCTCGTATTCATGGACTTTTTTGTGATGGACCATTTGTTTCTCATTAGTTTTGAAATATGCAGATTCCTACAGTTTGGCATCTAAACAACAAAAGACATTAAGAAGAAGCTACGGTTGAAAGTCCACTTCATTTCAGACGTGAAATAGTTATGAATCAAACACACCTCCTCCCTAAAGCTTTATGAAACTATTTCACGCTCCACACAACATTCCTCACATGGATCTGCTGCGTCGCCTCCAGCGAAAGAGAGAAGATGCTCATACATCTGCATACACTCGGAGGGGATACTGAATCTCAGCCCTGGTCCACAGCAGAGCATTTCAGCATTTATTACAATTTTTGGCCACTTCACCCCCTAAAACCCATATATACGCAAACGCTTGTTTAAAGTAGATTTGTTTCTGGAAAGATCAGGAATAGTGATTTATTTTCTTCTGTGATGAAAAGAAGCTGCAGATTGAGGTCACAGTTTTTACACGAGCAATTAAGCTGCATCCTTCACACATCATCCTGTTTGAAGGATGATCTGGCATGAGGGCGGAACATGAGAAATGAATGCAAAATCAAGGCTAACAACATAGTGTTGTGTCAAAGAAAATGAATTCAATATTAAATTGGATATTTCATCAGAGATGGGGGGGAGGGATCGCAAGACGGGGACATGGAATGGAACTGGAACATAGAGTATAATGAGCAGCATCACATTTACACACAGATGTAATCTGATGACAGAAATGTCTCGACACCCTTGCTTTTTCAGCAATGTGGCATCTTGTTCGCTGTAGCCATTTTCACACGTCTTTCACAAATGAAGAACACAGCAGGTGGGTGGTTGTCCGACTGAGACGCGTTCACAACACCAGGAACATTTCCAGAATGCTCAGGCGAGGGATGACGTCTGGGTAGAGCATGCAGGAGGAAGGGAATGAATAAATTCCTCTGGTGAAATCAAGTTTGAAGCATCAGTGTCGGCCCTCATCAACGGCTTAAATTTAAGTAATTTAATTTAATGTAATTTCTTATACATGTATGATACCTTTTTTTTAATCCTGAGATATTTGCAAGCAGCAGGTCCCTGCTCTAGAATATTGCTCGGAAAATGTCCAGAGTTTAGTGCATGTCGGACAGCTTTTTAAGTAATCCTTCAATTTTTAAGTATTTTTTTAATGGGATTTATATCCACAATAATCCCTGCAGAATCCGGATCGTTTATTAATGACCACGTTGCTGATCACGTTGGTGGAATTCTTTTTCGGTGCAGCGTTGAAAAAGCTCATCTCAACCTGAAGATTAACAAACACAGCTGTGATGGATGAGTAGACAACATCTGGACAGGACAATATCACGTACAATAATATAATCAGGTACAGCACCATAACTTCTGTGTTTCTATGGTTGTGGTATAGCTACTGAAATTAGACTTTTACTTCACATAAACTCTAACAGTTCTTATCCTGGACCAGTTTGGTATCTTATCTAAGTAGATACAGGGACATTCTTTACACAGTTTTTTTAGTCTTGCAGCAAAGCTTGTGACTCCCGTTTCTCTGCACTGAAACAGCTCAACAAATTGTTTCCCTTTTATAGCTTTTATAACTACTCGTGGGGTCATTGTAAACCTGTATAGCTGTGCAGTGAACAATAGTGAGATGACGGGAAATGAAGAAGAAAAATGAGGATCAAGCCAGGAACGCTGCAGCTAATGGTCAGCGCTGAAACCTCAGAGGCGCACCGGGGCATCCTGAGCTTACTGCATTTTACCTCACTACAAGTTTATAAAAGAAAAGAAAAGAAAGATTACCGGAATCATTTATATGAGCAGCATCTTAAAACAAAAGCATGTCTTTGTGCGTGAATAATTTGAATAAACAAGGGTATTAAGAACTCTTTTAAAAAACCTCTGATGTTTTTGCTCTGTGTTAAAAGTTAATTTAATGGAGCCAGGTGATAGTGTTGGGAATGCATTTGCACAGAGGTGTGAAACTGTTTTCAATTAATTCTAATAACACACACACCCTTAAAGCCATGCTGATTGATGATAGGGATTAGTGGCTGTGTGGTTGAAATGTGTTGGGGACTCTGCCCACTAATGGCAGTGGAAACACTGGATTAATTTTCTCCAAAAATAGACCTCTGGAAGATAAAACAAGTATATTAAAGTCCAAATGAGTCTGTGCAAGCAAAACCTGTCCATTTTGTCTGTGCACTCAAAGACAATGCCGCTCTGTTGTTCTTATAAATCTATTTAAGGCTGCGAGCACAAGCCCCCTCGTCAAGATGATCGATACATTTTCATTCTCTTTACAATGCAGCACTGAGGCAAAAAAAAGGTCATAACACATGAGCATAATGCAGCCTACGTTTTGCATAATGTCATTCTGCCGTCATGGCCTTAAGCAAGAGCTACATTGCAATCTCTGCAGAGCCAGCCCTGCTCGGCTCTGTGCCTTTGAGCTCACTGACAATATCTGCACAGCCTCCTGGCTGTTTGGAGAATGAAAACACACATCATCCGGGGGATCCTCGCCGTTTGGTCGGCCCCAGTTACCAGGGAAGGGAGAAAGAGGAGACGAGGAAGGCAGAGGAAGTCAGTCAGGCGGGAGAAGAATGAGGTCGGGTGAAGTCGGCGCAGACCTGCGGACAGCGCGGTGTGTATGGGAAGCTGCTTGCGGACCTGACATGTGCAGGGAGGTCATTAATCATAAACCTTTGGAATGGTTGTAGGAGATCCAGAGGGAAAGAGGCCACCAATCCATTCGCAGGGCCATCTCATTACTATGTGATTACAATTAGCTTTTATTTTTCCTCAAATCTGTGAATACAATTCTCAGGAACATTTTTTTTATAAGTTAA